GAAAGAGGCAATTTGATGCAGTGGTTAAAAGCATTAGACCAGAAGCCTGGAGACTGTAAGTTCTAGTCCTGCCTTAGGCACAAAACCAGATGGGTAACCTTGGACCTTTCTTAACCATAGGAAGAAGGTAATGAGAAACCTATGGTCATGAACTTGTCCAGGGAATTGTCAGGAGACAAGACAAAGTCAAAGGGATTTTTTTAAAAAGTACTGAAGTGTTAAACTGTTTTAACTGCAGGAAGTTACAGTACAACCGATTATCCTGTAGATACACCTCATGGGAACAACTTTCTGCAATATAAAAAAATATTCTGGTGAATTTTTTCTGGTGAATATTCTGGTGTTTATTTGTATTCTAAATGGCTTAGAAAAGAGAGCTATGGATTGAGAGCTCTAATGTATTTTAGTTTTATTTGAGAAGTGATCTTAAAGCATAGTTCCATTTAGTAATTACCATGACATTTTTAAAACCTTCCAAGCTCCTATGAATGCAAGTAGAAAGTAGCATTTAATCCTTCTTGCACTTATCAATATGCCCATATAAATGCCTCCAAGACCATCACATCTGACAAGTTTATTTACAGTCACCTGATCCTTTTGAAGGAAAACAAAATGTATAAATTCAGGTTACCAATTCTCATCCAACTTTTCTTAAGTGCCCTTTATCCCTTCTTCAGTGGTTAGAGAGCTAGCCTAATATCTCAGATATGTCAGGTATGAAACTTTCAAAATTCCTAGCTAATATGGCCAAAGACATTTGTGGAAACCTGATTGGAAAGGTTGTCCTAATTCAAGTTTTAGATTGCTGTATTGATGTCCTTACATTATTAGAAAAATTCAAAAGCAAATACTTTCCTCAGGAACTAAATCTCTCTTAAAATTCCAAAATCAATCACTTTTGCACAATTATCACTTGATGTATAGCCAAAAAATTAAACCAAGTAAACATTTTTATCACCAAAAATGAACCTATGACAAAAAAAAAAAAAGTTGGAAGAACCACATTTTGGCAACTTACATTTTGTATGTAAAGAAAAAAAATAAACCTCCACAGAAATTGAAGAACCAGGGCATAGACATCCTCTTGAAAGTATTTGTGTAAGATTAAAAGGAGAGAGAAACATTGAAGGAATGTTTTTATAGATCAGCTAAACAGGCAGAAAATATAGATGTGGTCAGAAGATTAGCAATCTTTCAAAGATCTATACAGGAGTGATCATGCAATATTGAAATTAAACATTATGCAAGCACAAGCAATAGAACAAAGTCAAACTAGAGTCTTGGACTTTAAGAGAGCTAATTTCAAAAAAACTTAGAGCTTGGGAAGGATTCCATGGATGAGATTCCTTAAGGAGAAAACAATTCAAGAAGCTTGGGAAATTTTGAAAAATGAGATTATAAAAGTCCAGTTTAGCACAATACTAATGAAGAAGGAAAGTAGCAGCTCTCAAAAGAAACCAACATGGCTGTATAAAGAACTCTCTGATAAATTAAAAGATAAAGTAGAAAGATGGGCACATAACTAATATCAGCAATTAGCCTGATCCTGTAAAGATTAAGTGAGGAAAGCTAAGGTTCATAATGAATAAAGGCTTGCAATAAAAGTTTAAAAAAAGGTTTATTTCAACATGTTAAAAACAAGAAAAAAAAAGTCAAGGAAACGATTAGTCCATTGATGGGAGAAAGTGGCAAGAAGGTGACAAGCAACAGAGAGAAAGCAGAACTACTTAACTCATTTTTTGCATCTGTCTTTACACCAAGAGAAAAAACAGTCCATGTTGACATGATAGCAGTGTTCCAGTATCTCAGGGGCTGCCACAAAGAAGAGGGAGTCAAGCTATTATCCAAAGCACCTAAGGGCAGGACAAGAAGCAATGGGTGGAAACTAATCAAGGAGACAAGCAATCTAGAACTAAGGAGAAACTTCCTGACAGTTAGAACAATTAATCACTGGAACAACTTGCCTCTAGAAATTGTAAATGCTCCAACATTGGTAGTTTTTAAGAAGAGATTGCATAACCACTTGTCTGAAATGGTATAGGGTTTCCTGTCTAAGCAAGGGGTTGTACTAGAAGACTTTCAAAGTCCCTTCCAACTCTGTTATTCTATTCTATTCACTAAAAATCTAACTCAGACAAGAGTCAGTGGTCTTGTCCTTTCTTGTTGATAACATCATTTGTCAGAAGATGATAGAAGAAACAACATGGAGGTCTTCTATACTGGACATAATTGTCAGGAAGAGATTGGTTGAAGAAGTGAAAGTACAGTAACTGGCATCCCAGAGGAAATGATTACGTTATCTTTAAATTTGTGATATCCAAAAGAGGAGCAAATGAAAAGAATTGGAGATGCAAACTGGATTTCAGAAGAATGGATTTGATGAACTCTGAGGGAAAATAGGAAAGGTTTAAAAATCCTGAAGGAAAAATGTGTTCAAGAAGAACTGGAAATTCTACACAATGAGACAGTTAAGTACAATTGAAAACAATCTCCCCTATAAGGAAATATGGAGAAAACTAAAAAGGCTAGCATGGATACATGCAGAGCTCCATAAAAAGAAAATGTGATATGTAAATAGAGGGAGGAGAATATAGCCAAAAAAATGACATAAGATCATCTTCAGAAACTGTAGAAACTCTGTCAAAAGGGTAGAACTTCAGAATGACTGATGGCTGTGACGGACACTAAAAATAAGGATTTATTTGAATGTGATAGGGATGAAAGGAAATGCAAAGAGAATGTTGCTTGATTGCAAAAAGATGGTGGTGAAGCAATAATAGTTGATGATGAGAATACTGAATTGGTTAACTTCTATTTTATATCTGTCATCTTTCAGAAAGGAAATGGAATCCTGACTGATCATAGTTCTGTTACTGGAGAAGAGAAAAGTGCAACTTACAACAGAAAATGTAAGGTAATGCTTAGATAATTTAAATGAATCCAAGTATTTAAGACCAGATAAATAGCACCCCAAGATACTGGAAGAAGTGGCAGAGGAATGAACGTTCACATCCTCTCGTGGTAATCTTTAAGAATTACTGTAGAACGGGTGGTCCCAAAAGATTAGAGGAGAACAAATACCATAATCAAAAAGGGGAAAAAAGAAGGACCTGGACAACTACAGATTTCATTTTATTTATTTATTTTATTTGTTTGATTTGTCAATTGCTTACAAGATAATAGATATAAGTATAAACATGAGTGGGAATACAGGAAATAGGTACGAATAAATGGGGACAATAGGACAGGGATGGTAGGCACGATGGTGCACTTATGCACGCCCCTTACAGACCTCTTAGGAATGGGGTGAGGTCAATAGTGGTTAATTTGAGGTTAAAGGAGTGGGAGTTAGAGCAGTGGTCCCCAACCTTTTTTGTACCAGGGACCAGTTTCACGCAGAAACACTTTTTCAAGGACCGGGTGGGGGGGGGTGGAGTCCGAGTTTGGTGGTTTGCTTGCAGACGTTTCATTACCTGACTAGGTAACATCTGATGTTGTTACCTAGTCGGGTAATAAAACGTCCGCCAGCAAGCCACCAAGTTCAGGGAGCGCCAATGCCTCCTCATTGCCACCCTGAGCGACAGATATTCTCTTCTATTGGGACATTTAAAACGGAGGGTTTCAGCTGCAGATTCAGGAACTGCGCCTGGCTGAGGAGCGCCTTCAAAACTGAGCGCTGGGCGGTGGCGGCCCACGGCTGTCTCCGCAGCTCAGGACAAGTCCCTGCAGGACGGCTGAGAAGCCCTGCCTCTCAGCCCTGCCTTCCTCAGCCTCATCCCTCAGGTGTCTCCCTCCCTTTAATAACTATTCGCCTCTTTTTCTCAGCCGAAGCTGCTCCGAAACAACCAGAAACGAAGGCAGGCAGGCAGAACAGAGCACTGGATTAAACCGCGGGCGGCTGTGTGGGGGTGAACGGGCACTTCGGAGGAGCTGTGCCGACAGGAAAAGCCACTCTGCCAGCTTCTTTGAAGCAGTTTCTTCCTGGGCTGGTGGAGGAGCGAGAGAGCGACTGAGAGAGGAACGAGGCAGGAGGAAACCGAAGCCACTGGGCCAGAGAGCAGGACAGGCTTTGGTTGCTTCCTCCCTCCCCTTCTTTCCTTTGTGTTCTTGACCCCTGATCCCAGCAGCATTCACCGAAGGCGAAGAAAGCCGCCATTTTTATTTTATTTTTATTTTTATTTTCTTTGTGGCCCGGTACAAAATGATCCACGGACCGGTACCGGTCCAGGGCCCGGTGGTTGGGGACCCCTGGGTTAGAGGATGTAACAACAGTCATTTGACATCTCTTCTGGGAAAGGTCCTTGAAAAGCAGTTCATTTGTGATAGGATGGGCATACTACAAATAAGAGGAGACAGCATGAGATTGTCACAAACAATTCATGTCTGCTGAAACTTACCCTTTTCTCTGATAGAGTTGTTAACTTAGTAGACTGGGGAATACTGTAGAACTAGTATAATGTCAAATCAATCAAATGTTAAATTTACCCTGCAATAAACTAAATCATGCTGTCCCAAATGGACAGGAATGCTTGAGGCAATATAATAAGAATAAGTAGAGGAAAAGAATGAGCCTTGAGGTCACTTTGAAGATGAGCAGGGGATTGGAAGAAGGCAATATCATCTATTTATGCCTCTGGAAACAGTTGTTTGCCCATTCTGTTGATGGGGCAACCTGTCCAGGTAAGTCCTTAATCATAATATTCAAGTGTGGAATGTTTTTGCTACTGTTTGCAACAAAAATTTCAGGTGTTAAATTTTAGCTAAATAGGTGTTTAATGCCTTCCACCAGGAAAAAATTGAAGAGATGCTCATGGCTTATTATTTTTTAACTTTTGGCTCAAATGTCAGAGATTCCTCTGGTCATTTTGATCTGATTAAACAGCTTCTTTCCACATGCTGATCATCTCGGTTTACAAAGTTCTGTTATGTAATCCAATATTAAACAAAAGAATGTTTATTTTGTCCTCTCAGAAAAAAAGCAGCTCTACCCTTCCACAGTCTTGCAACATACTTTACACGTATCCATTGCAGTACTGTGCCGTCTGCATTTCAGAGCAATTCCTTCAAAGCAACTTATGTAAGCCTGTGAAATTGAAAACAATTTGAATGGGGACTTCTGAAATGAGGTAAGATTGTGACAATCTGTCAGTCTTCTGCAAGAGACATTCCAAAGTAGAAAAATATGCATTATGAGAATAAATAAAATTTTGCTGCTGAATATAGCCAGGGATTGATTTGTCACTAAAACCCTTTCTATTGCTTTTTAAAATTATATAATACAGGGAGGATTAATTTTGCCAATTGACCAGAATAACTATAATTTGCCTTTGCAGCAGTTTTGAATACGGAAAGTAATCTTGTATGTGTTTATACTGTATACTTTGCGGTGATACTATATATATCGTTGATCATTAATTTCAGCACATAGCATTTGTTCATAGCATTTGTTCTGCTTAGTTACTTGTTTTCACACTGTACTCACCTAGTTCTTACAATGAAGCTTACGCTGATTTTCCAGCCAGGAGGTCACAGAGCCTGAAACTCATTAGGGCTAAGACTAAGAGGGCAGAGCATGACCAAAGAAACCTAGCTAATTTTCATGCCTAAAGTGGGGGACTAAAACCAGGGTTTCCCACTCATTTTACAGCTCATTAAACTACTTCAGGTACTAAAGGCTTTGACCGAATCATATTAAGCTGCAATAGGCACAGTAGCTTAAATTTGTATCCAGAGGAGGTCACCAATAAGGTTGCCAAAAGAAATTCTGTGGAAACTCTAGATGTCTGTATGTGAACTGGTTCTCTACTTCTTTGCAAATCATTCACTTTTCATATCCTAGGAGAAGTCTGGTACTTTAAGCTACATATTCTTTTAGGGATAAGTTTTGAATCCAGACTTAATTCTTAGGAGTGCTTGCTCATAGTCGGAGATACAAGCTAAGACAAAGGTAAGCAACCAATTATGATCATGACTCTTTCCCTTGAAGGTCTTATACTCTCTATCACACTTTTTAATGGATGGATAAATAATTGATATTTTAAATTGGTTTATAATATTTTATGACAATTTTTCAATACAATAAAAGTATAAAAATTGAAGAAAAAATGGAAAAAAGAAAAGAAAAAAGAAAGCATAGAATTATGACTTCCACCTTTCTATTAAGTAATTGACTCTTACTCTTGCCCCTTCCTCTTTAGCCCTTTTTAATCCCCAAATCCATAAATCACCAGATCAGACTTTTCTTCTTTCAGCAAAACTTCTATATAAAGTTTCCAATCCTTTAAAAGTCTCTATTGCATTTTCCCTGATCAAATTGGTCAGTTTTGCCTTTCTGCAAGCTCCATTCATTTTATAATCCAATCTTCTAGTCTGGGAAATTTATTATTTTCCCAACTTTGTGTGTACAATAATTTTGCCACAGCTGCTACAGTACTGCTTTCTCATATTTCTTTTCTAGCTTAACAAATATTCTAATTAAGAAAATAATTTCACACTAACTTACAACAAAATCTCTGACAGCATCCTTATTTCTGTACCTTGCATGGACATAATAAAAATAGAGGGAAGGGTATTCCAATACGTGCCTTGCTTGGAAGCACCCACTGCTCAGAAAACAAACAAAGGCAAGATGATCGTATTGGAAGTATTTCAGAAAACGAGAAAAAGTAGAACCTTCTTTGTGTATTGTGCCAGCCACATGTGCCAGCCATTTTATGACTAGCTATCCCACTCATTCACCTCATATTTTCAAATTTTCAAATGGATGTCCAGCACAGAAAAAATGCTGACTTCGCTAAGAAATAGAAATTTCACTTCATACCTATGTTGTTACTTCTGCTAAAAAAATGTTTATTTTAAGCTATTTCATATATTTGTAGCTATTTCATATATTTGCCCATCTGTGGATAAGCCAATCCTTAAAATTTTAACCAAAATGCCATGAAAATGTGCCATCATACCATACAAAAATGTAAGTGTAGATTTCTGTTTATCATCATTTTTTCTCCACTTTATCTACTAACTGACTGCTGTGTTTACAGTCTTGCATGAAGAAAAGTACTGGAGAACTTGAAGCTTGCATACTTTTTAGACATCTGAAATTGTCATAATAAAGGTATTGTTTTATTTTTAAATGTATTAATTCATCTGTTCATTGCTTAGTTTTCATCTTTGATTTAATTATATTCGCCATCTCAGTCTTTGGGTTCTGCTAATATTTTGTATAATTATTTTCTCTTATATGTCAATATATGTACGACAAATATTCTGCGAATTGCTTCTTTTCCCATGTATAAAAAAACGCTTATACATTACATCAAAATGTTAGAATTATTGGAGGAAGAAGGCGGAGCCTCCTCGCTGATGGACCGTAGATTGCGACTCTCTGCGGCTATGGTCCGTGCTCTTTCGTTGGAGAGCCGCAATCATTATGATTAGGGGCTGAAGCTGCCTTGGAGGGGCAGCGGAGTAAGGGGAAGCCGCAAGCCAGGTTGAGGGGAGCTACATCTCCCCTCCTGGGCTTGGTCTTTCCCCCCGCGAAGACGACTGCAGCGGTGGTTTAAAATGGCCACCCCGAAGAGGAGGACTCAGCTGGATTAAGCTTTGTGCAGAAGGGAAGAAAGAGATGGACAACATCTGAACCGGGACAACTGTGCAATACAACTAAACAAAAGTACCCTGGGATTAAGGTAACATGGAATTTTTAAGAAAAGAAAAGTGAGAGGTGAAATTACAAAGGGACAGGGAAAAAAATAAGAAAATATTTTTGACAGCTAAGTGGGGCTTCGAACCGGGAAAGGAAGACGCCGGAACTAAATATTTAACTAAATTGGACTAAAATATTTTGGCAATAAACAGGCATAAAATAAAGCCGGACTTAAGATTGTCAAAAAATAATAATAATAAAGTTTACAAATTGGAGACTGGACTGTGCTGGAATATTGAGGTTCGAAAAACCCTAAACAAAAAAATAGGGGGAAAAGGTGAAGACTTTGTATAATGGAGAGTGCCACCTTTTGACAAAAACTTGAGCTCAAACAAAAGGGAAAGGATCCTGTTTCTGAATGAACTTGTGTGGATATAACACTAAAGAAATGTTGAAATAAAGTAAGAATCTTAGAAAGTGAAAGCAGAACCAGAATAAAGAAAAAAGCAAGGAAAGACTGACTGTGGGATTGATTGATGTTTTTGGTATAGACCCTGGGCTGGAATAATTGAGAACTTTAGAAAATTGAAAGAAGAAAGAAGGAAAGTAAAAGTGGGGTTTTTTTTGTGGACTTTAACAATCATAAAATACAAGAGTATGTAATGATAATATCTCTTCGGGAATAAAAAATGGAACTTAAAAATATGAGAGAATTACTACAGGAAAAAGGCTTTGCTCTGTGTTAAAAAAATGGAAATGGCAATTGAAGAACAAGAAGAAAGAGCTTCAGAGAAGGAGGAGTCGACTCAAGGAAAAGACATTTTAAATAGACAATTAACACAAAGAACACTACAAAGAAGTGGGGAAAGAAGGAAGGTTAAAAAGTTGAGATTTAAGAAGGCAATGAAAAGAGGGAATACCTGTGAAGTCGGGAAAAGCAGAAAGACCCAACAGAAAAGGGGAAAGGAAGATATTAAGAAAGAGAGGGATATAAATTGGAATGAGAAAAGATATGGGGAAAAGAGGGGGAGGAGAAGCAGTAAGAAACAGCTGCATGAAATAAAGAAATACGGAAATAGTAAAATGTTGAAAAGAAATGTTTTTTTCAGAGATAATGGTTGATGAATTAAAAAGGGGATTCTGCAGGGTGAGAAGGGGTAATAAAAATATTTCTGCAATTAAAAATATTTAGAAAATAGGGTAATATAGATACTGATAACTTTTATTAAAAATTAAGGGGGGGAAATATGCTGCGGAATCCAAATGAAAAGATGTAATGATTATTATTGTAACTTCTTAAAAATAATGGTTTATTGGGAATCAAGATGAGGGAATAAAGGTATATTTTAATCATTGAGGTGTCACACTCAAAGCAGTAAAAGGGGGGAACCTATGCTTGTTTTTTTTCTTTAGTGTTAAAATTTGTATTAATCTAGAATTTATAAAAAGAATGTGTAATGGAAAGGAAATATGACAGACTAAAGAACCAACTAAATTAATAAGTTAATATAGACTATTAAAAGCAAGGAGAGACATTGGTAACATTATTATTATTATTATTATTATTATTATTATTATTATTATTATTATTATTATTATTATTATTATTATTAGGCAAACACATATTGTTTATCTTTATTTTTAAAATAAATATTAAAGGATTATATTTGAAATAATTGAAATGAAACAAAAAGATGTTTCGATTGAGATTAATGAAAGAGGCTAGAATTAATGTGTTTGTTTCTCTCCTTACTGAAAATTTGGAATGGAAAAGCTAATAATAGAATTAAGTATGCATATATGAATATATAATTGCTGTCATATTTGTATGTAAAGGTGATGACCCGGAAATATGTTGTCCACTAAAAAGAGATTTTTGTTTTTAACATGAAAAACTGAATAAAATTCGATTTTAAAAACTGTTAGGATTATTACAATATTTGCTCTCTTTTCCTGCAGCTTATAATCAACCCTGTTCCTTCCCTATATGTTGTTTCGTCACAATGGCAGCTCTGTCCAATCCTCTTATTGAGAAAAATTTGTACTATCAACTGTTTCTCTAAATTATTTTTTTCAAACTTGGCTTTAAGATGTATGGACTTCAACTCCTAGAATTCTGGGTCCACACATATTAAAGTTGCTACTGCTGTAAACCCAGGCTGTATGTATTACACTTGGCATTTAGAAAGCAAAATATATTTAAGGAATGGAAAAGAGATGTTATTTGACCTCAAACTGTGTTAAGAATAAATATAATTTTGTGTAATTTTGTTATTAGCAGAATTCCATTTAATTTCAAAACAGAAAAACAGCTATATCTTATTAACAATTGGTACAGCTTCCTAGGTACTATTTCTGATTGACAAGCTGATTGAACTCAACTGAAAGTTGAAATGCCAATCATGATCAGTTCAAAGTTAACAGTGAGAAGATTTCCATTTCATGAGGACTACAGCTGTTCCAAGTGATATTTAAATGTACAGGTTTAAGTCAACAGATTATGAAACTCGATTAATTTTGTAATGAAGGGATTTCCAAATGGCTGGGAATAATCCAATTTCAAAAAGTTATGCAATATTTTCAAATGGCTGGGAATAATCCAATTTCAAAAAGTTATGCAATATTTTCAAGATAAGAATTTAAGTGTTTCAGCAAAAAGAAGCAGGAAAGCAAACAGGACTGTCAGTCAACTCAGACACCACAGTCTTTTCAAGCTGAATGCTTTCTTTCACCATTCTACCGTATCATGTGAAGGAGTGCATCAGTTGCCAATAACAGGCCATCAGTGATATGGTAATTGGTGCCAAAGGGGAGGAATCTCCTATGCCTCATAAAGTTGTGGAATTTTGGCCACACTTATCATCTGGGAGACAGAAAGAATGCACTTGAATATTCCCAAGTACATATTTTTTTTAATAGGAGAGGAACTGACCACAGTTATCTTTCCCTCTGACTCTTTATGCCCTTTGTCCTATCCATAACATTCCTCAGGGTGGGGCAGGATATAAAATCTGTTATTTTTGGCCCTTGTGCTTTAAGGGTAGAAAACTATTAACACTGAACATTGGTGGAATATTTACAGTCATGATAGACTAGATTAGACTAGAATAGAAGTTGGAAGGGACCTTTTGGGTTATCTAGTCCAACCCCCTGCTCAAGCAAAGAGACCCGATAGCATTTCTGACACGCGGCTGTCCAGTTTCTTTTTGAAAACTTCCACCAATGAAGCACCCACAACTTCTGAAGGCAAACTGTTTCATTGGTTGATTGTTCTCACTGTCAGAAAATTTCTCCTTAAGTTGAATCTCTCCTTGTTCAGTTTCCATCCATTATTCCTTGTCTGGCCTTCGGGTGCTTTGGAAAATAGCTTGACCCTTCCTCTCTGTGACAGCTCTTCAAATATTGGAACACTGCTATCATGTCATCCCTGGTCCTTCTCTTCACTAGACTAGCCATGCCCAGTTCCTGCAACCGTTCTTCTTCATATCTTTTAGCCTCCATTCCCCTAATCATCCTTGTTACTATTCTCTGCATTCTTTCTAGAGGCTCAACATGGTGGGATGAAACCCACAACTGGAACATACTGATAGAAGGATACAAACTGTTCAAAAAAACCAGACCCCATGAAAGGGGAGGTGGAGTTGCACTGTATATAAAGGACCACTATATTGCTACAGAAATGCATGAAACCAATATATATACATCTGGAAACTAGCCCTTATCAACAAACGAGTCCCAGCCACGAAACCAACACCGGACCCAAAACAACACATGACGCCACCACCAATCTCCCTCACCAGACTCAAACCCAAACCCATCCCATAGACAAAAGGCAACCACCATCCAGAAACCAGACCATGGCTGCATCACCAGCTGCCACACACCCGACCCCCAAACCAAGCAAACTGACACAGCCATGAACACATAGCCAGGCAAAAAACTTGGAGCCAAACCAAAGCCCGGAACACCACATCACAGCCACCCGCTCAGGATATCACATCACGGAACACAGGAGGTTACACCACAAAACCTCAGGATGTTACAACACAGCCAACGACCCAGGAGCTTAAGCACAAGACCCAGGATGTCACAACAATGGAACTCAGAAGGTCATCACACAGCCCATTACCCAGGTCATTACAACACAGAAGGCTGATAGACACACAGCCAATACCTCAGCCACACATGTTCTTACAAAAAAGCCAACCAACCTGCAAACACCAACTCCACCAACCAATCAAGAAATAACAACACAGCGAACCTCCCCACCAGTATTTATAGAGAGATGGCAGCTCCGATCATGCTTTGCTTGCACAAGCACGAAG